CTTTGACTCCCTCGAAAAAACATGACAGTCCGAAGCATTTTAAGTCTGACATGAAACTGATCACTATGGTAACGGGGAGCACGTGGTCACGTAAACCCACGTGAAGCCGACATCAGGCGAAGGCTAGACCGTCTCATTTCGCAGCAGTTTTGAGCATCCTACCCGGCCCAGCAAGGATGTGGCCTACGTGGCCGAGGACCCAGCCCATGAATTGAGACACAGCCCAWGTTCGCTGTTTCACAGCACCCAAAACTCGCCGAGACTGGAGCACRTTCAAGAATGCAATGTTAAACAAATGTTGACTGGGGTGCGTTGAAGACTGCAATGTTAAACAAACATTGCGAAGAGTGCGTTCAAAGCTGCAATGTTAAACAAACAAATATTGCATTCTACAAGAGCACGTTTAAGGCTGCAATGTTAAACGTTAGTGTTAGCATTAGTGATTGATTGCTCTGCAATCAACTTTTACTGGCTAAAGATTGRCCCATCAATCTGGATCGACTGGTTGACCTGGCCTGACCTATGGAGACTAATCAGTGCCAGTCACATTCATACACTGATGGGACACACATCAGAGGCATTAGGGGTGAAGTATCTTGCCCAAGGACGACAGCTCGACAAAGGATTGAACCAGAGACCCACAGGTTCCAGGACAACTCCCCTAACCACTCTGCCACAGCCACCCCTAAAATGTTGTATTGTTCCACAGCGAAGTGATGGGTGTGTAGGTGGGACTTTCCTATCAAGGAATTCTGAGTATACAGCCAAAAGTACAGCATAATGGAATTCATAAAAACAATTTGGCTTTAAGAACGGGGAGAAGCAGAAACACCTCATTTTTATTAATGTCAGTGGTGCAAAAATCAGCTAAATTTCAGTTGCTTTAATAAATATAAACTTTTAAAAGTTTGATAAGTTTCAGAGGATGTAGGATGTTAGATAACTTTGTGAGTGTAAACAAGGGAGTTTTATATTGTGTGCTTTTATTTTGAAAAAGGGGCAGCACTGTTCCGGTAGCCATGTTGGCCCTGATTCAGTTTTTTTAATTTCCCCATGCAGAGAAGAGAGGAGAGTTCTGTGAATAAAGAGAGACGAGTTCTGTGCTCTAAAGTAATTCGACTCTGTGGTTGTCTCTGTGAGCAGGTTTCCAGCCCTCATAGCTCGCACGTTACATGAGTAGTTGTTACAGCCTGACTCCTTCCTTCTTTGTACTTGACAAATACAGACAGTGGACACCAGATAGCAGATGTTGTTGCACAGAAACAATAACTCTCCAACATGTGGAAAACCATAGCCAAGTCATCTGTTTAAACTTGTGATGAGCTGAATCAGCAAGTGTCCAGATTTAAATTAAATCTTCTTTGTCTTGAAAACAATTCACTCTGAACCCTGCCCTACAGATGATGATGACACAAAGAGAAATCARTGCTAACAGAGTCATCCAAAAGTGTACAGTTGAGGTTTAATAAAATAATATATAAAATATACAGTTGAGGTTTAATATTAGCTAATGCAATGTTCTTCTTCACTGGTATATCATTTTTGAGAAAGTTGTTTTATCAGCCTGAAATAAAATAAACGTTCTTGTTTTGGCTAGCTGTTAGCTTAGCCAGAAGAAAAACATCTGCTTCTTTCTCCATACTCCACTACTGATGTCCCTGATGATCATGTACTATTTATTGATGACTATAAAGCAGACCGTCACCTTTATTTCCTCCTATTGTTCGTTTCTGAGGAAGTGCAACATTGTTCCTGTGTCAGTTTGTCCCGGGGAATGTTTAATCATGCAATGATATCAGAAACCAAAAAATATCACCCAAAACATTGTTGTGTCTGATTATTGACTCCATTACTGACCATTTCAATCAATATTTGTGTGATGATGTTTTTTTATATTTCTCACAGATAAAGGATCAATAAGGACAATTCTCTAATTTTTCATAAAAATGCACATTACATATTTTATTTCATCCAAAGAACCTACACACAAAAAACAGTGGTTATACGTGAAATTATTATTTTTTTGTTTTTGATTTTTTTACATTTTGATCTATGCAATACGTAGA